TTAAGTGCACCTAATCTTTGACTTTTATTATTTCATACTGTACTGTTTATGTAGTTCAGCACAAGGAAACCAAATTTCATGTTTGCCTTGTTTTGCGGTCATGACAATAAAGTTTATCTTATCTTACATAATAATACTATCTAATCGACATCATATCTAAAAATCGTGATCACACTTTAAAAAAAAGAAGTGAATAAAGTACTTGCACTACACAATAAATACCCTGGTACGTGGCATTTCTTGAGTACTGACAAGCACACAGCTTTTCATAGTTTAGATGTTTGATCCTTTCAAGGACTCTGGAAAATCCCAGAAAAATCCCAAATGCACGTTTATATCACAGCTCTATGTTTCAAGCCAAATTCACAGAAAACCATATTAATCATTTAACAGTAACAACATTAAGAACACTTTTTTTTTATCAAGTCTATATGTAAAGTTTACAGTACATCGCATTTCCATGTTTGAAGCTAAATTTACTTTCTTCTTTCATCAACAAAGGCTTTTATTCAGTAACTAGGCCTCCAAACCTTTTATCATCTTAAAAACATAAATATAAATTAAGTAAGGGTTTCTTAATAAAGTATTTCTATGATTATAAACAAAATACACATATTTTAATAAATTATTGACATTATTCATATCTGGATGACATTCATGGAAAGAACTGTAATATTGAAGTATTTTTTGTTAACAAAATGTGATAGAAACGTTTTCTAATTTCATTTAAAAAGGGACGAACTCAACACAGACAGCTGTATCAATCACTTTAACATTAATAACACATAAGTTCTAAAGTACAGGCCTGTTAATTGTAGGTATTTATATAAATTATCTGTGTTTGAGATGAAACTGAAAGAGAAACTTCCTTGAATCTTCATTGTTCTAGACTAAGGAGAGGATATCAGTAGAAAAACATTAGAATTCAAATATTGAATAAACTTTTGAAGGGCATAATCATTGGACTACTGATAAAATATACAACACAATATAAACTTCATAAGTAACACAGGCTGAAACATTTCTTTTACTTTAATTTACTAAGTGGTGGATCTATACGGTAGCAAAAGGGGCATTTCCCTGCTCTCGCCCACTCTAAGCAAAAGCCAAGAAGTCACTTGCGCAAGTATGAAATCATTTAGATTTTAGACGATTCAAAATGGCTAAATCTTCAATATTCCAGGAAATGTACACTAACCCTCTGAACCCCCAAAATAAGTATAAAGGGCAGTCCTCAAATACTTCCTTTGGAACATAGGTTCCACCTCCCCTCCACCTCCTTGGACCGTAAGCCCTTGACTAACAATCATACAACTCCAAGCAAACAAATCTTACATCTGCCACTGTTACTACCTAGTAATACAGTTTCTATTGAATTATTATCATCATCATTATTATCACTATTATTGAAGAGAAAATAAAAATTATAAGAATATATGCCTATACATATTTATATTTCTTTTAAGGATACATAATCTAAAGCATAATTATGCTTGCTTTGTACACCTTTTCAATTTTTTTCTACGACCATTCTGTATTAACTGTGTTATTGTATATCTTGAAGAAATGGAATAAAGAACTGAATTGAATACTTACAAAACAAGAAGACATCTGGATGCCTTTCCTACGGCACACAGGGCTATCAAACACACAATACTTTCCAAACTAAAGAGTATTATGGTGCCAAGCCACCTAAAATACAGTAAAAGGAAAACATTTTATTTTATTATCAAAACTATAATTATCATTCACTAATTTTTTAAATATGATTAAAAGTAATTTCTGAAAATATCTAATTTAATCACCAGATCATAGTCATCATCATTATTATTCTCATAATTTACTAAACAACATCACTATCTACTGTACACTATCACAACATTATTACTGTCATGATCTTTGTCATTATGTTACCATCATAATAACCATCATTAATTATTTAGATCACAAGTGACAAAGTGCTTTTTCCCTGAAATAAGCATATGCAATAAGTAATTACTCACAAAGTGTAAGCCACCTCCCTCTCTAACTTAACTATGAAGTATTCACAGCAATCAATGTAACCGACATCAGATTTGAACTTACAACCCTTCGATTAAAAGCCTGATGCCTTATAAATATACCACATATGCAAGTACTGTATTCACTTAGTAGACATACCACATTTGTAACCTTAAAATCTCATCACATTGCATCAACCAATTATGATCAGTGCCAATTTAATTATAGAATCAACAACTCCCTTACCATTCTCTTATTAATGACAAAGCTACCCTCTTTAATATCTCCTCACATGTTTTCAAAACTGCACTTGTGTTACTAGTATGTTGATAACTATTCAAGGGTTGGCATCACTAATGAATCTTACCTGAAATAATCATACGACTCCAAATCGTCGGCTTTTGTCGTCAAGTTCAATTGCACGCTGTTGGAATCTCTATTTATTTCCGCAATATTTTGGGCTGTACTCGTTGTGTGCTGACTGAGCGTTGCAGTTAGCTTCAGCAATTTCTCTCGATCTTGCTGATTTAAGACTTTTTGAAACGTATCATTTAAAGTCTGCACATCCCTTGGAATATCATTACTGTATGTTGCACTGATTTTATTTACCTGAAAAATATGAAAATAATTATGTAATTAAAGATCTGTCAGTACTAAGCTAATAAACAATGCAATTCAATTTGAATCTACTACTTATCATCTTATATTTAAATTTGCTTATTTTGTACACACATATTTTTATGTTATTATCTTATTTGAAACTCAAAAATGTTTTAATAACATGTTCATTTTAAAGAAAAATGAACATATCAAATCATTTACAATAACTTTGATCTTATACCATTTTGCATTATTCTCATAGTTCATAGTTCCTTTTATTTGTCCTTTCGGAAATTCAATTTGACATACAATCACTCAGAGTTCAGTTTACATAGAAAAGGTCAATAAAATATATATCATAAAAAAACTGTTATATACTGCTTAATAATTTTATTATTAATTTCTCATTAGAGTATGCACATTGCCAAATAAAAGTAACAGACATAAAGAGAAACATGCAATCAAAAGCATTATCATAATTATATTCTATAAATAAATTTGAGTCATATTTTAGTTCATTCAAAATCCTATTTTCTATACCTCTGTTGTAATTTCATCAATTGTGATATCCACATCTTTTGCAGCATTCGTCAGTCTATGAACACCGGTTGACGTCTCCTCATTACCATAAAAACCGATCACTATAAATGCCCTAAGGATAAAAAAGACACTACTGTATAATATATAAATAATATCATATTAAATTTGCAATTATTTTCTTCATGACCAAAATAATAACATGAGAATGGTATGAATCATTACAGTATAGGTATATACTTTGATCATAAAAAAAATATATAAAAATATGCTAAACCATAAATACTGTATCTAAAGAACCATATATCTTTCATTTAACTACAGAAACCTGTCCACCATAAGGCCATAACTAAATCCTTTCCGAGCCACTGGGGCTCATAGGGTTGGAGCTTATCCAAAGTTTCTGTAGTGTGAAGTGGATGAGAGTTGTACTCCCCCTAGACGGGACACTAGTCCGTCGCAGGTTAGTCCCCAGCAGTTTGCTGGTACCCATTGATACAGCTGTGTGGACTGAAGCAATGTACAGTAGTGAGGCCATATTGTATCTTAATTGCACACATATATAAACTACAAGCAACACAGACACTACTGTATTCTGTTTATTCTCCATGTAGGCCAGAGCCACGCTTTCTGAACATCTATCATCAAAACTTGTTTTAAACCTTGTTTCGTAAAACTATTTTTGCAAAGAACGTCAGATGAGGGCGGAAAAAAATAAAAATAAAATCTTATTTAGCAAATAGTTTTATACCAAAAACATCCAGACGAAGGAGAAAATAAAAATTAAGTTTTATTGGTGAATGTAGATAGTGTAGTAATGGGATGGTTAAATGCTTTAAATTTATATAATTAGGGGGAAAAAAATGTATGTTATTTTTGGAGATTTTAAGGCAGCGGTGGGCATAATATTTTATTTTTTTCTGAAATTTCCTTTTCAGAAATTAAAATTTTATTTTTGTTCAAAATCATTACTATTGGTGGGTGAGGCTCGCTAAAAAGACCTGTATAAATAAACGTCTCGTCTAATTATAATAAAAATGACAGAATCAAACATCCAAACCCATCTACTTCAGGCCAAAATATATCATACATAAAATACTCTCTTTCAACTACACAGATGGCAAGACATGCAAGTCTTTGTTTCAATTCTTCTTCTTCATGTTGCAAGAAATCTAATTATGCCTGAAATGAATTCGTTCTTTTTGGTATGATTTAGGTTATTACTTTGAGTTGTCTTTTCACTGTCCAAGTTAAATTAGTTGCTACATTGCATCAATTTCTATTATTATAATGAGATATACAGACTTGGATAATTAGATTATATTTACTGAATACCTCTAATACAGTATTACTGCAAGCAAATGACAGTCAAATCTTTTGTCATAACATGTTATTATGGATACATACACACATCTAGTCTGCATAATACCATTAAATAATGACAAGGGATAAAACTAAAAAAAAAAGGAAAAGAATAAGTAGTGTCAAAAAAAACCAAAAAACATACAGTGTATGACCACTGTTAACAGTCAGGAAAATATTTTTCTGCTGATGTAGCAATTGCTTATTAAGGACCAATTAGGGAAAGGGTTGGGAAGGGTGTTTGTTTTTTTTTTTGGGGGGGGGGTGGATCAGGAGATGGCACAGAACCACTTGAATATTTTAAGGTTCTTGGCACGCTAAACAGGTTTAATTAATAGAAATGATAATATCCTTTGTTATACCAATGTTTAATCATCATATTTGATTGCTCTTGAACCACTTGAATATTTTAAGGTTCTTGGCACGCTAAACAGGTTTAATTAATAGAAAAGATAATATCCTTTGTTATACCAATGTTTAATCATCATATTTGATTGCTACTCCCTCTATTTGGTATTATCAAGGAGGTATTTATATTATGTACACTGTACTACAGTTAAACTGTGAAACCTTGTAGAAACAAAAGAACAAAAACACAGCTTGCTAATTTACCAGAATGGATTACTAATTAACTAAAGAACATTTATCAAATTACACTGACGTGGGACTCTTTGTTTAGCGGGAATGGGGGTGGGGGAGGCTAGTCTGTTTTTAGGCCTGGTTAACATTCATACTGAATTTTTTTATTTATTTCTTTCATACTCAATAAATACAGGGTGAAAACAAATAATGCAATTCTTTTAGTTTCATTATGAAGCATTAGTGAAATAGTTTTTCACTCATAATTCTTTAGAGTGCCATTTTCGGCCATCTAAAGGTGACATAATCATAAATTTTCAAATTACATTGCAGTGAATTCTTTATTTAGCTGTCTCTTATACACATCTAGATGTGTATAAGAGACAGGGGGGGCAGGCTAATCGGTTGCGGGCCTGGTTAACATTCATACTGTTCTTTTTTTCATTTCTTTCTCATTCAACAGGAAGATACTCAATAACAGGGTGAAACCAAATAAACCAATTCTTTTTAGTGAGTTTCATTATGAAGCATTAGTAATAATTGAGTTTTTCAGTTGAGAAAGAATCCAAGGTTTTGTGGCTGGATTTAAACATTAGTAGGCCTAATATTGAGTTTTTCAGTTGTGAGAAACATTTCTAGCTGTTGTGACAGGATTTTACCTTTAAAAACCCTACAATTCGAAGCAGTAGGAAGCATACTGTACACCTACACATGAGAATAGTCACACTCAGTTGAATGTATAATTGAACAGCAAAATCTCCCCTGGGAATCAATTCATACAGTTATGCCATACCTGACTGATTGATATTGCATATTTAAATAGTAAGACGGATATTCTTCAATAAATAATCATATACAGTACAAGTTGAAGGAGCTGCTCAGTAAACACAAAATGTTCGTGAACATTGTGGTTTAATATTTCAAAAAAGAAAGTTCACACAAACATTATGACGTTGTGAAATTAGGTTATAGAAAGTACATACATATGGTTATACAAAAGAGCGTTTTTAACTACAAACTGTAAAAATATTGAAGGACAAAATAAAATCAATTGTTTTTCAGGTAACAAAATATAGCCTCTTGAAAGGCATCATTGGAAACGTTTGACTAACTCCCTGCTTTGACACAAATTGGATTGATCATTAACTTGCTAGAATAACACCATCCCATAAATTAGTTTATATCTAGTCCAAACATTATTTTGATAACAAAAGTATATCAAAGAAATGTACTATACTATATACACAGGTTCTGACACTTTGAAGCATTGTCTTCCAAAACAGGTATCTATTTACAGTATACATTACTAATGTGGTGGTCTAGTGGCTCTGGATCTACAGTAGATACTGTATATGATTACTCAGAAAAACGAATATCACATCAGAGTTTTATTGATCTGACCCCTGTTTGACAGTTTGCAAACCTACCAGAAGTGAAGTTTAATTTGAGTTTTGAGGCTTTAAAAATCGGTGATATCCAAAATGTTCCAGTAAGGTATCGTTAACAGGAAGAAGCTAGTGGTATAAGTCAATGTTCTATCTGGTAGTTGCATGTACATGTAAGAGCATTTGTGCTACAGTACCCCCTGGATTATGATACCAGACTAGTCAACTAGAGGCTGTGGGTTCGATTCCCCTGAAGTATTCAGTACAATAACACATCTGGTTGGGCAAAATTACACTCCTACAGTACAATATTTTCAAAATTATGTTGATAACCTTATAGGTTTTTGGTTGAAAAATTATTTTTTAAGTAAAACCATCATTATACTTACAAGCAAAACAAGGCAACAGTTGCAAGGACCCACTTCTTTGAGGTGGGATTTTTCCTGGGTGAGCGCTGTATACTATTCGACCGTCTCTTGCGGCAAAATCCATAGCAACAGTAAAAAAATACTGCTAAAATTGTCAGCAGGAGTAATGCTATCGGGATGGCTGCCAGAAATAGAAGTGTCTGGGGAGAAAATGAACAAGTACAAATAAATATATGAATCAAAAATAATGAAACATGGTGCACAAAAAAAAAATCCAAACCGAACTAACCCAAATATCTTGAAAATGTTTTTCATGCTTTGGAACTATAACCATAGATTTTTGGTTATTATTTTACCAACAATAAGGCATAGGGTGAGTGATTGAAAACCATGACCTTATAATTCGGCCAAGGTCTAGATGAAGGAAGCTAAATTTAGGAAATCATGAATAATCAGAATTTTTATCACTTAATTATAATATGAAACCTTTTTTAGTTTAGCGGTGAAAGAGAATCATTAGTGTATTAACTGTTTATAAAAAAAGTAATACTTTATGGTCTTTGAACAATTTAAATCACAAAAACTTTGTAATGCCAGGTAAACAAGGAAAACAGGGTCATTTAGGTGAAAATTTTTTTATACCTTGTTTAGCGAACCCACCACCTGACAATAATGGTGATTTTGAATAATAATACAATTTTATTTTCGGTCAATTAGCCCACTAGCCGCCACAAAAAATTTTAATTAAAAACAAATAAATGTTTTTGTTAATTTTTATTACACCTGTCGCTGACTTGAAATCCCCCCAAAATAAGCTATGTATATTTCTTCCTCATTATATAATATAAAGTATTTAACCATCCCATTACTACACTGTTTACATTTACCAGTAAAATTTCTTTTTTATTTTCTTCTCCATCTGGATGTTTTTGGCAAAAATATTGGATAATTAAGACAAAAAAACAAAATTTTTTTGTTTTTTTTCCCGCCCTCCTCTGACGGTCTTTAAAAAAATAAGTTTGTGAAACAAGGTATAAAAACTAAGCATTTTTATGAAGTTGTACAGTATCTAACCCATGGAGGCCTTGTATCAGGACATCCTGATCAAAATTTCAAGAGGAAATTGTTGATGACAAACAAAATCAAACAAAAACCTCTAAAAATGTTCAATAGATTCATAGCTAATTGACTGTTTGTTTGACAATAATAACAATCAGTTGTCATGACATGGACTATGATCACATAAAATATTTAGAAATCCTAAGACTTGAAAATATTGGGGTCTTTTCAAAAACAGAGGTTAAAATGAGTCATTCTAACACTAATCATTATTTTAGGATTAGCTAGTTTATGTGGATTAGGCCATCAATTTTTATTGGAATTAACTTATCCTAAATTGAGATAATCCCCAACATATTTGGATTACCTCTATATCAGCAATTTGTTTTCATAATACCTGGTATACAGTATCATACTTGATGGCAGACACTCGGATTGGTCCATTTAAACACGCGTCTGTTGATTGTGTTAAATTTCCAACAAATAATTTATCAATCAAAAAACTTGTGTTTAAAACATTACATAACTAATATTTTATGTTTAGTGCTTGGTAGTGTTTTGAGGGAATCAGAAAACTAGTACATGAATGTGCCACGACATGTCCACAGTTATAAATAATATTTATTATTGAATTCGTAAATTACTGTATAGTTCTCAGTGATTTATTAAAAGGCAATTCATATACTGTTAGTATTATCACCGGCATGGGGGGAGGGATAACTAAGGAAGGGACACAAGCACATTTTTATGGGAGGGCACCCCTCCTAGATACGCAACTATCAGCAGGACCCAATAGGGCTGAAGAATGCTACACATACTGTACTTCAACCGATGGCGTTCGATCTGGTCCCCTTTACTCTTGCTTCATTGGTCATTTTGTTAAACGACACAAATGTGGCAAACATGCACATATTGATTGAGATTGCCTCACCACATTTTTTTCACTACCCTCTAAATAATTTAATTTAATATCTAATAAATTATGCTCGTTTGATGATGCATAATTTGTAATGTGGGTTAGCAAAGCTACACTTCTTTGTACCTACTGTAATGAATGTACAGTAGATGGAGGTCACGCTTGGACGACTATCTGCGTCATTAAAAATGTTAACAAATGATATACAATGACGTGACTGACGTCTCAAGGTGTGTTTATTGACAATAATAAAAATAGAAGTTACTGGTAACAACAAAACAGAGGTAATAATGCACACAATACTGTATACACTGTATTGCAATGTTATTTAATTATCAATCAACCAACAGCCATATCAATCACATGCACAATGCACATGCATACTTTTGAAAAACTATAAGGCCCTAAAATAATTATTAGTTTATCACCCTATCTAGGCTGGAAAGCCAAATATCATTCTTGTGTTGTTTGCTGTTTGCATAATCAAAGTAAAGTACATGACTGAGAAAATACAAACAATTACTTAATATTTTCTAAAAAAAATTGAAAACAGGTGAAAAACAGAATTTCAATTTTTGTTAACCAAATAATAAAATAGAAGATGTGATAAACTAATCTTTTTTTTTATTGGGCCAAATATATATACAGTACTGTAGTATTAACAAATAATTGAAAGTTGCATAAGATAATATTTTTTTTGTTTCTTTCAAACTTCTTTACTTTTGTTTTTAATTCTGTTTTTGATTATTTAAGATTTGTACTTTTAAATTTCCTTCTCTTTTGTCTCGTTTTTTTACTTTGATTTTGTAATTTAAATATTGTACTTTAAGTTCAAGTATGGTTAGGTCAAAGTATTGCAGCAGTTTATTGTGCCTCCGTCTAAATAAAAAGCAAATGTGAGGTCTTACTACAAAATGAGTCTCAAAAAATCAAAAAATGAGTTAATATTACATTTTGGTAGACCACATTATACAGTAAGCTTTAATTTGGTCTTTGAATGGCTTCCCTAGGATAAATAGATCCAGAGATGTTAGCATTTAAATTTTAGGTGCATGAGAACCAGTTTTTGAGAAAATCAGCCTCAAAGATAAAATAACCTGTACAAATAATAGGACTAGAATTACAGAATATGCGAAGAGAACACTGTTTTAATAAGAAAATTCACCTTCGCTGGTGGGGGGCGCGAGGTCCCCGACGAGGGGGGCCGATGCCCCGACGAGGGGCCAGATTTCCCCGACGAAATAATAGCTGTTGTCCCTAAATGTATTATGTCATTATTAATATTGCACTGTACCAGAACAACGATATAAACAATACAGATAAAAATACAAATAACAATTTATGAAAAGGCATCGCTTTAACAAAATAAAAAAAAACCGAAAAAACCTGGCAATGAATAGAGCTGTCCTTAAAATTGGATAAGAACCTGGCAATTAATTATTTATAAACAAACATCACGAGTCGCTGCCGTCATGAATCGCTGGGAAAGAACGTTGTTTTTAGTAATAAAATGCTAAAAACTGGTGTAATTAGTGAGAGAACCGGATGAAAAAGAATCGTAAGATATTGTTAAGAGTGTACAGTAGGTAAAAAGACAATTTTTGAAGATAGAGTGTTACAGTACTAAAGTGCATTAGCACCCTATTATTTTGTACCAAGTCTGTATCACGCACTACTACCAGGAAAATATATTTTATTAACTACTGGAAGCTAAGCAGTGCACTGAAAGTATAATATAGACGTTAGACTAGCTACCAGCTAACAATAGGTTGGCAACTAAGCCTAGGCCTATAATACCGAAGTATAGATTAATAGAGTCTTCCAGTAAAACAGCCTAGCATAAAAAAGCAAGAAGAAAAGCAATACTTAATTTTAACGTTAGATCTACTCCAAATAAAAATATTCAATCATCATCAACAAATAAAAATATCGATTAATACACAATTAGAACTGTAGTCAATTGTTAAACATTAATGCTAACTACTGCCATTTAGTCGTTTCACTCACTTGGAAATATTCATCACTGTCAGGCTGGAATGATGAGTCAACTAACGTGAATGATTTGTATTCGACGTGCGGCCAGGAATGGTACCATTTGGTAAGCCAGAAAGCCGTATAATTGCCCCGCCAAGAATAACCTACAAGCTGCCACATTTTAGAACATTCTTATCCTTAACAATCCATGTAAAATGTTTCGTTTTCCCGGAGAAGGTTCGTAATTCCTTTATGATAAAATTCCAACGAATAATAAAGTATTTAGTATTTCCTTTAGTACTTCAAACAACAAACTTCGTCAACGCCGTGTTAAATTCATTCAATGGTCAACTAAGTCGATACGCTTCAGTGAAGTTGATACTGAATCATTCATGACGTGTGGCTAGCGGTATTTTGAATAAGGTTTGTTTACAGTATTTGTTTTGTTTTATATGTTCTGTATCGCCATCAAACTTAACAACTCACAGATCAAATTGAGATCAAAAGAATAACGCTCTCAACATAAGCTCGTTTTCTTGGGGCAGTGGTACTTCTTGGAGATGGTATATGGGGCGGGGACCAAAACTGCCATCTACTGTACAAAGTGGTAGTCATCGCCTGGTGGCGCTATCACGATTTTCTCTCCCTCTGTTTCCATCCTATCACAGAAATTCAAAGTCCATCGTGTAACCGTGTACCACACGGCCTCTCATACTTTATATTGTCAATGGCGCCCTCTATGTCATTCTTTTTAACCTAAAGCAGGGTTTCCGAAGGTATCATCGAAAGGTATTGATAATAAAATCCCTTTAAATCGTTCTTATTATGCTTATTTTTTAGCAAAATTATATAAAATATGACAATATGTTGACTCATTAATACGTCAGATGAAGTATTTTGACTATCTGTGATTTGGGTGTATATTGTTTTCACTTACAAAACAAAGGGTACAGATGTCAACATATTAGTATGCCGATTGATTAGGCTAGGTATAGGCCTAGCAGTTTAAAGCTATATAGCCTAGGAGGTCAAGCACCTAGCACTGCAGCCTCCTAGGCTAGAGTCACAGAGTCCTCTGATTAAGTTAGGCCTAGGTCTAACATGGTCTGGGCCTTGGCCTACAGTACATCTAGGCCTAGACTATTATTAAGCTGAAGTTGTTGACGTGAACAGAACAGATGAGACTACTAGTACACCAGCACTTAAGGTAATTAAGCAGGCAGGGAGAACAATACCAGATTGTAAAGTAGGGCCTGTGTATCCTGTATATACGCCGAGCAAAAATTAGACTTTAACCTAATCTTAATAAATACTATTTAAAGTAGTTACGATTCTGTGCACTTATTTTCCTAGCATTTTTCCGCACAAATTTGAGCAAGCTTTTGAGATATCTGCGCAATTAAAGAAATTCACAGTATGGAGGCTATATAAAGGGATACACAGGCCCTATTTTTCATTTAACAATAAGGCATAGGTGGCCAAGGTCTACATGTGTGATTGTTAACTATGCTCTTCCTTTTATTTATTTAGTGTCAGAGAAGAGGTGACGACAGCCCTTCTTGTCAAGATACCATTACAACTGCTTAAATAACATGGTAAGATCCAAACAATTATTTTGAAAAATTTAGTAAACCCAACTCACTACATTACTAACAAATATTTATCATGTTAACTGATATAGTATGAAGTCTAGAACCTGTTTTTGACAAAATGTTAGACTGAAATATTTAACCAAGACAATAATTTTTACAGTACAGTATAAATGTTTTTAGATACTGTCAATATTTATTGTTAAAAATATAAAACATTACTGTAAATAATTATATTTTCCTTTTCCCACAGCCAAAAGAAATTCAAGAGATTAAGGATTTCCTCCTGACAGCAAGGAGGAAAGATGCAAAATGTGAGTAAATCATAGTGTAATATTAAACAATAATATTAATATTATATTGCCTTTTTAAAATAGATTTTTGACCTTTTTCAGTGGGATCCAAAATATGAATTAAACATGTAATAATTTTTTTCTGAATTGCAAATATAATATGTATTCCATCCTTTGTTTCTTTTATTAAGTGGGGTGGGGGTGTGTGTGTGTGTGATGAGATTCCCAATCATTAATGTACTCTTTGACAAGAGATGTATCATTGTATTCCATCTAGTAATAAGCCTTTTATTTCCACAAGGAATGTCTGCAAATCCACCATCGAGAAAACATACAGGTGTTGGTCAATAGCCAGCAGCTTTTTACTTTTTAGTGGGAGAGGGGGGTGGTGGGTTACTTTATGAGAATAATTTTTTGGGGTTGTTTCAAGTCTCAAGGAAGATGGGAGGGTGGCAAGACAGCGGACGGTTCTCCACATCATTTAAACTCCTGTCATTTATACAGGAGTGCCCTTTTTCTTTCTGAATCCCCTCCTGCAAATATCTGGACCCACCCAAGTACTCACAATAACATAAAGCTGTTGATAATTATTTCCTAGCTGTTAAGATTAAGAAGAACAAAGATAATGTCAAGTTTAAGGTCCGCTGCAGTAGATACCTCTACACGCTTGTAGTCAAGGAGACTGAGAAAGCTGAAAAACTGAAGCAGTCTCTACCACCAGGTATGTGATCAAAAGATTTTTTTAAGCACTTAATTGTCGTCATCGTTTTTTGTCACTAGACGTAACATGCACCACTGTACAGTTTCATTGGTCTCGGTTTGAGCAGGATGGTATTGGTAGTTGCAAATGTGTTACAACATTTTTTTTTATTATAGCCAATACTCTAACTCGTGTAGACTTTTTTTGTTTATATTGTGTTGTCGTTTTATAGTGTTTTTAAACATAGTATAGTATATAATATATAACTTGCCTAATTTGAATCCAGAATGGCATTGAAAGATTGTTAGACTTAGATAAAATTTGAATTACAGATCATTAATTAATGGAAAACAACAATTTGGCATGAGAAATAAGATCGACTTTTCAAGTTAGGCAAAGTCTAATTATGCAGTCGTTCGACTATTTTTAATGTTTTTCTAATGTAAATTTTCTATATTAAATATTGCATTCTATTTTTAATGATTTGTAAATTTATAATTACCAGTTATATCTTTTTTGTATGTGATTTGTTTTTACTGAATTTATAGCTTAAATAGAGATATTTGACAATTTAATAAGTGTTTGATCACTCTATCTACTAAAATAAAACAAGATTTTGTTTTTTTAATTTATTTTCTTGCAGGTTTACAAGTGAAAGAACTAAAGTGAGATCATGGCAGCAATGTGGATTTTTGGCATGTACATATGGATTGAGGAAGGAGATGATTAAAAACTATTCCTGAAGGAAAATGTCTCTGCTATTTTATTTCATTTAGTCTTTCTCTTCTATATGAGGCTTGCCATCCGAAAACCAGCATCAGTGGCCAAAAAATGAAAATTGATTTTTTAATATATTTTTCTCCACAATATATGTGGCAAAGACAAGCCAAACCAGTCACTCGTCGCAAAAAAGTTTCTCATGCAGAAACTATCTTTAAATCCTTAAAAAGTGTTATTTTAACATTGAAAATGGGGAAAATAACAGCATAGGATGGTGTGTAGATATACTGTATAAAGGTTAGTTTAGTGCAATAAAATAGATTTTTTTAAATTTGACATTTTAGCATGTCTTGGCCATTTTCGACGAGTGACTGGTTTGGCTTGTCTTTGCCACATATTATTATAAATGATGCATCGTTTACTGGATTCGATCTATTATTGCTTCCCTGTATACAATGCTGCAACCTTCTTTTGCTAATTACTCAGTTTAACTTATAGTGACAGTGCATTGGTTTTTGGATGGCATGCCTCATATACCGTTGATTTGAAATATAAATACCGTATTTATTCAGTGCATAAATGCACTCGAAAGCTCCAATGAGGGCAGTATAACAGAGGCAGTAGATCTAAAATAGATCTGTTAATCAGCCAAGTGTTTCCGAGCTCCTCACAAGGGCAGTACTGTATAATAGAGGCAGTAGATTTAAAAAAGATCTATTAATTAATCAGCCTCATGAGGGCAGTATACAGTAATAGAGGCAGTAGAGCTTCTCATCGGAGCAAAATAGCAGGGCCACTATAATGTGTTAGAACACCACCATTATGATCACAAATTACTATCGCATTCATTCACAACAGCAGTGGTCAGATTTGACATCAAACTGAATGGAAGGTGTTGCACATACCATAATATAAACATATATTATAATGCACATAAGACGAGACACTTTTTAATCCTAGTTTCGTTGGAGAAGGGCGGAATAAAAATAAAATTTTGTTTTCTTAATTAGCAATTAGTTTTGCCAAAAAAATCCAGATGGAGGTGAAAGTAAAATGGGATGGTTAAATGCTTCAAATTTATATAATTAGCAGTGGGTGCGCTAATTGGCCAAAAATAAAATTTTATTTTTATTCAAAGTCATCAATATTTGCGTTCGACGGGTTCGCTAAATAAGGTATAAAAAAAAATCGTCAAGGAGGTTTCTACAATATTCAAAAATCATTGAGCAAACTTGACTGCAATACAAATACAATATATCAACAACTTTATTTTATACTGATTAAATATAAATTCACTATCTATTAGGCAAATTTTTAAAACATACTAAATGTACAATAAAATTTCTACGATTTAAAAAATTATATATACGTCTTTGGTAAAATCTGGAAAAACATGCCCCAATTTCAAGTACTTAATTGTTCATTTAGAACAAATACAGTAGTTCTTAACGTCCAATAACATGTAGGCAGTTCAGGTTTTGCTAATATTCAACATGTACATTCAATTCAGTTTAATTTTTATTTGCTTAACATCATTTTTCATAATAAAAATATTTAAATACAACTTGCAAGGTCTGTAATTGGAACATAATCGCAAACATTGCTCAGCGGATCGAACTTAAACTGTCTTATTGCACATTGTACTCATCGTACAAATTGACACTTGCTAAACGGTCATAGAAACCATCAGGTCGCAGGCCGTTAATCATGGAGCACAAGTGAATATCACTGACCGACTGGATACCAAAATAAGTGTGCTGAAACGGACTGTAGTAACTCTTATCTAAGTATGGGGTACCTAGGGATTCTGCATTGCACCTTCTCAACTTCAATATAGTCATGTGAGTATTCGGTGTATCACGTGTCCCAGTAAGACTAATACCTGCTTCGCTAAATTTTGTTTGCAATCGCTTGATTAAATTAGTGAGAGCTGATTCTGGACAAGGTGGGCTGAAAAGAACCCTGTCGTGGAAATTGTCCAGACCCTCAAAGCGGAGAAGGAGGCTTGGTGGCAGTAGCCGAGAAACTTCATGTTGGAGGTCCTTCAACACTTTCAGTGCAGTCATTTTCTCATCATTACTGTCAAGTCGTAGTGTACACAAGGTAACATGGAGACTGGACAGGGTTGTGCAGGCTGGTTCCAAAGTGGGCTCATTAGATAATATTAAATCTTGAACAGTTTTAACATTTTTTAGAATTTCTTCATTATCAATTCGAATTGCAATGAAGTAATTTGGTACATTTCTGTTAATTTTCCTTTTGGTTGGTTTGTCTTCTGATTTTTCTAAGTTTTCTTCATCTTCAGCATTGAGTTCTACATCAATTTCATCAACTTCTTTCTCCTCATCTGACATTCCCTCCTTTTGAAATTTCTTTACAACATCTGTGATAGTTGTCTGGCTTCCTGTAGATCCAAAAACATTGTCCAGACGAACTCGCTTATCCCATACTATCTCATCTTGATACTTGAAGTACTGAATCCGGTGTCTGGGAATCGCTAATGTATTGAGATCGACTGTTGCGATATCTACCCAACTGAATGCCTCGAATGGCTGCTCTAGGATGCCTAAGAATCTGTCTAAATACCCAACAATAAAATGCCTTGGGCTTAGCTCAGGATCCCACTGGATACGAGAAATAACATCACAGGCGGTCTTCATAGGAGGTTTCTTCCCATTCACACATTTTTCACTTTCACCATTATCATCATTCTCCTGACCTCTATCCTTACTTTTGTTCTCCTCATCATTAACCATGCAATCATTCTCATTTTCATGGTTGACCTCTTTATGGCCTGGATGTAAATTAAGACACTTAGTACCAAAACGACATTTTCCTTTCAAGAAGAAAGAGCAGGGAGTTTTGCAATTCTTTTTGGCATTATCCTCAATGTCTAAAGGTCTTGTGTAGTTGACTTCCATCTTATCCAGATGATCTTTAGCTGCTTCAATGATGGTTAGGATCATTGGTGTGCCAACCATCTCTCTTGCAACTTGATACATGTTCTGTAGAAGATCCCCTGTTTGCTGATCAGTCAAACTGAAGGTTTCAGGTATCACCTCAATTCTTGGTGGACAATCTGGATACATTTCTGCAAAATTAATAATTACTTTTTTTTAAGTGCAAGAATTGAGAAAATGAACTTTTGGTTTTTTAACGGTCTTCCCATGGCCTTCTGCTTTTGTGGACTTTATATTTACCACCCTGTATCATCTACATACTAGGTCTTCATTTACATAATGTGACTATGTTGATACAATTATTCAACAATATTAATTACCTGGAATTGAGAAGCAAAAAGCTAATCCAAGATTGTTTGGTTTTATGCTGATCTCTTTGCTGTATTTACTCTCTCTGTTTGATGTTACATTGATTTCATCAGAAAAAATACATTGTAATACTTCCACCTCTGACTGGCCATCCTCCAAGGAGCTCTGCGTTTGGATCAAGTCAACCCCTGCCATGACCTATAAAAAATACAAGTCTGTACAGTGGCTCTGCTATATTAAATACTAAAATATGTATGGAGAGTCTCAATTGGAATTGCTAATGATTGATTAGAAGCTGACCACTGTGTTCTTATAAAACATAAACTACAACAGTACGTTCATATATTTATATATAAAGCATAGTATTTTTGTTCTTATTTTATTTAAAATTTTGACCAATCATAAATATTTTTTATCAAGATTTTTGTAATAGCCCAACTCTGTCCTATATTTCGTTTGTCACACATGCTGAAGAAGACCAGAGAATG